ACCCCACTCTACGGCTTTGAGGGGCGCCGGGCATGCACTGTCTCAGGAAAGCGAGAGATCCCAGGCACCAGGGGGTTCCTCCAGCGTCTCGCCTCCATATTGGGTGGACTCTGATGAGTCCGAGGTCGATTCAACTTCACCTGACGCTGCGGTCACTTCACAAGGTCCGCCATCACTGGAAGAGCTGCACATCACGTTTGCCGAACTGATGTCCAGGCTGGTGAAGTCGTTGGAGATTGAAGCGAGCCAACAACCGAGACCTAGCACTGACTGTTTCTACGATGTCGTGTGGGGAGAACAATCGACCTCCATCACTTTACCACTTATTACGACCCTCCGACAAGTGATGACCCAACCGTGGGACCTCCTGGCGCAGTCTCAACCGACCTCTAGAAAATACGAGGCAATGTATCGAGCCTGTGAAGGGGACATTCCGTTCCTCCTCCGCCACCCCAAGCCAAATTCGGTGGTGGTAGAATCGTCTCAGGCTCGGGAGGCACAGGGTCATACAGTGCCCCGGGACAAAGAGGGAAGAAAGATTGACTCCCTTGCGTGCCAGGTCTATGCGGGTTCAGGTCTGGGCCTAAGAATTTCCAACTATGAGGCGACTCTGGCGCGTTATCAATACTTTATAATGCAGCGCCTGGACAACATCATCGCCACCCTCCCTGATAATCAAGGCGACTTAGCGAGGGTGTTTGTAAAGGAGGCAATGCAGGTCGCCGTGCAACAACTATCCACCACCAGACACCACGTGGATATGTACTCGAGGGCTCTCGTCAGCGCCATCTCTCTTTGGAGACACGCATGGTTGCATAACTGCAACTTTCCTGAGGAGATGAAAAGGAGGATTGAGGAGATGCCCTTTGATGGATCCGGCCTCTTCAACACTAAAACCAATCAAAAGTTGAAGAAGATCCACGAGTCGAGGATGACTGCCCGGCACATGGAATGACAACCACCCCCTCGACATAAGTGGTCGTGGACTCACCCTCAATATAGGCAGCAATATCCACCCTGCCAGCAGCCACAGCATTGCCAGCAGCGCCGCAAGCAACCACCTTAGCATTTCCAGCAAGCCCGCCACCGCTTCGACGGAGATAAACGTCAGCGCTGATGGGACGAGCGAACCTTTCCCCCCCTTCCAACCCCACCCTCCCCCCTCTCATTTGGGGACCGGCTGAAAAGCCGACTCCCCGTTTGGGAGTCCATTACATCTGATGGGTGGGTGTTATCCATCATCCAGCACAGATACAGAATTGAATTCGATGTTGTTCCATCATCGAGTCCTATCCGGTTTACGCCATGCTCCCTGGTATTGTTAGATGAAATTTACCAACTCCTCTCTAAAGGAACCGTTCGTCGCTTATCTTCATCGGAAGAACTCCACAGATTCTATTCTAGATATTTTACGGTCCTGAAATGAGATGGAGGGCTTCGGCCGAAATTGGACTTGAGAGCTCTCAATAAATTTGTAACACCAAAGAAGTTTCGGATGACCACACTTCAAAATATCCTCCCGTTGCTGGGGAGAGGGGATTGGTTCGCTTTGCTGGACTTGAAGGATGCCTATTTTCATATTTTGATACATCCACGGCATAGGCGCTTCCTCCGTTTTGCTGTAGCCTCTGAAATCTACGAATTTGGGGTGCTGCCATTTGGACTGGCCACCACACCGAGAGTTTCCACGAAGTGTATGGCTCCCATCTGTGCATACCTTTGACTATGTGGAATTCAGATATACCCATACCTCGATGATTGGCTGTTGGTTTCCCGGACTAGGGAAGGACTTACCTCCACTGTAAATATGACCTGTGATTTATTGCAAGACCTTGGACTCTACATTAATCGTCAGAAATCTTCTCTTCTCCCTACACAGACGATCAACTTTATTGGAGCCCGACTGGATTCTACGGTGGCGACGGCCTTCCTCCCTCGAGACAGACAACATGCTATCACTCGACACATTCGCTGGATTCGACGAGAAAGAATTGTTCCTGCCCGATCTGTTCAAAGACTGTTGGGACATGTGGCAGTGTCCATCGCCGTAGTCCCACATGCCAAACTCCGACTGTGCCCCCTCCAATTGTCCTTCAGTGGGAGTTTCCGACCACAAAGGGATCTTCCTACGAAGCGGATTCGACTCCCGTCCTCTGTTTTTCAGTCTCTACTATGGTGGACAAAGTCAAGCAACCTAAACATCGGAGTCCCGTTTGGACTCTCGGTACGAACGCATCCCTTCTGGGATGGGGAGCCCTGTGCTCCGGTCTACACACCCAGGGGGTTTGGAACTGTCAGGACTCCAGGAACCATATCAACTTCCTGGAACTTCTCGCCATGTTCAAAGCACTACAGTCATTCGAAGACGTGCTTCACCGTCAGGTTGTCCAGGTAACCTCGGACAACGTAGCCACAGTTTTTCACTTAAACAAGGGGGGGACAAGGTCCCCGAAATTAGCCCGTTTGTCAATGCGAATCTGGGAGTGGTGCATACTGAGAGGCATCACTCTTATTGCAGTACATCTCACGGGCACAGACAATGTGGAAGCAGATATCTTGAGCAGACACATGTCACGGTCACACGAATGGGAACTGGACCACCAGATTTGCGACAGGCTATTCCAATGATGGGGCCTCCCAGAGATAGACCTGTTTGCCACCCGACAAAACAGCGTGTGCGAAAAATTTTGTTCAAGAGCGGGAATCGGGCAGGGGACGTCCAGGGATGCCTTCATGATTCCCTGGAGTGATATGACCTTTTATGCTTTCCCCCCGATTCCCCTCATCATGAGAGTACTAGCAAAGGTGATTCACAATGGGGCCACAGGGCTACTGATAACTCCTTGGTGGCCACGTCAGCCATGGTTCTTGACACTTCTTCGTATTTCTCGGGAAGAATACCTTCAGCTTCCTTCCGTCTCTTATAATGCAGCAGGAGGGCTCGATCCGACACCTGGACCTACCGTCGCTGAAACTGACCGCCTGACGAATTCGATAACATTGAACGCCGGCACGGTACCAATCCGTATGCAGTCCTTACTCATTCCGTTCCTACCATGGACACACAGGTCCATGCTGTGAATTCGCCTACCGCCTCTTCCTCGTCAGATCCAGTGAATACGCTGTCGGATTCACAGGCTTTGCATCCTGATATACAATATATTCTCGACTCTGCATTAAGACAATCCACTCGAAAATCGTATGTGGCAAAGTGACGTAGATTCTCTAGTTTTGCCGAATCTCATTCGTTTTCAGTGCCCTCCGCATCTATAGATCAGATCCTCCAGTTCCTCTTCGAGCTTCACCGTTCTGGTCTTAAACCTTCCTCCATGAAAGTGTATACGGTGGCAATCTCCTATTACCGCAGGACTGTGCAGGGGTTTTCCATTTTCTCTCAGCCACTGATTAAGAGATTCCTCAAAGGACTTGGCAATCTCCATCCAACAATTAGGCCGTTTATGCCCACTTGGAGTCTCTCAGTGGTACACAGCCTCCTTTTGAGCCCCCGGAAACAATTGATCTACGTCTTGTCTCTTGGGAAACTGCCTTCCTTATAGCAGTTACTTCAGCCCGTAGATCTAGTGAACTTTGTGCCCTCAGAGTAGATCCTCCATTTTTGAATTTTCACAAGGAGAAAGTAGTATTAAGAATGGATCCATCTTTTCTCCCAAAGGTGGCTACCTCTTTCCACATGGATCAGGAAATTATCTTGCCTGCATTTTTTCCGGCTCCTTTGAATCCAGTCGAGAGGTCTCTGCATATGCTAGATGTTCGTCGTTGCCTAGCTTTTTACAGATCAAGGACAGAGTCTTTTCATCACTCTAATAGACTCTTCATTAAATATTCAGAACAAAACCGAGGCTTCCCAGTTACTCCTCAGAGACTATCTAAATGGATAGTTAACACTATTACTCTGTCTTATCAGTTAACTAAGAGAGACTTACTGACAACTCCAAGGGGCCACTCCACTAGGGCTGTAGCTGTCTCTTCAGCCTTCGCATCAGGAGTCCCGATTGAGGATGTCTGCAGAGCTGCCACCTGGGCTACTCTATGTACTTTTGCAAGACATTATAGATTGGATGTTCGTGCTAGACAGGACTGTTCTTCATCTATTCTTCATGGATGACACCTCCCTCCGCCATTTTGGGTAAGCTTTTTATTCTACCCATATGTGTGATGCACAGAGGCTACGACGAAGAAGAGCAGGTTGCTTACCTGTAACTGATGTTCTTCGAGTGACCATCTGTGTAGTCACACAACCCACCCACTGGCCCCGCTTGGTGTCACGGGTGGTCCGACTTTTTTTTTTCGGTCGGAGCTATTTTTTCTGCTTGTTGCACCACTAAGAGGTTTTGTTTTATTCCATACCGACAAAATTTTTTCCTGTTACTTTAGTTCTTTTTACAACTTTTTGTTCAGGAGCGAACGTCTGGTCTGTCAAAGACTGGAAAATGGCGGACACTCCGCTCCTTATATACTACTAGGGGGGAGGGGGAGCGGAGTTTCCCGCCAAACCGTTAGCTGTTAATCTTCCGGCCAAAGGCATTGCGCAGGCGCAGAACCCATATGTGTGACTGCACAGATGGCCAGTCAGAGAACATCAGTTACAGGTAAGCAACCTGCTCTTCCCTATCATTTTTTTAACCTGCAGTTTTATATGCAACTTTTAACAACTAATGGGGGTTTAGAAACCTTCATGATCTACTGCAGTCTCCCTTCTGCCTCCTCTTCTGTCCCATACAAGCCATCTATTCTATCTCCAGTGGTAGCTTTCCACTTCTTTTTCTGAATCCCCATGTAGTGGGGAGTGGAAATGATGGAAGCAAATGAACAAGGGGATTAATACTAATCCAAACTGGGATAGAGTGCAGTTACAGTAAACATCATGCTGTGCAATCTATGTAACGTAGTTTCTGCCTCAGAAGGGTCAGGGAAGTGTGAAGGAGCTTTGTCTGATTTTACTGATAGCAGTTAAAAGTAACATGGCTTTTCTATTGTAGGAGTGGTGGAAACAGGACTCTTCATCAACATGGCAGAGCGGGTTTACTTTGGCATGGAAGATGGTTCTGTCAGTGTATGTGAGAAGCCAGTCCTCTGACCACATTTAGCTCCTGAAATCCATTCTGCCTTCAGACTGTCGCATAGCATTTATCATCATGGTGCCAGCTTGATACCTTGCCTTAAAATATGTCTATTAAATGGAAGGTCTACCAGGTTTTCAATAATACTGAAAGTGAATGTTACCTTCAAATCTATTTTTTTACTTTTTCATGTAATCTTTTTTAAAGTGTTTAAACACACTGGTCATTTTAAATTGCTTTCATTTCATTTTTACAGAAAACATTTACCAAAAGTAATATTTTATATGAAATTTGAACCATCTGGCTTCTTGGAGTAGATCTGTTGGAAGAAGATCGTAATCACAGGTTGTGTGGTATCTTTAAATGCACAAAACCAAGACTGCACTTACGGGAAAGGGCTGAAACCAGTTGGTACTCAAATGCCTTATTGGACTGTTTGGTTCTATAATTTATGCCTTTTAATAATTTTACTGTAACTTTTCAATAACAGAGAATGTTCTAGTTTCAACAGATAATTGTAGCTGGCATTTGTGCAGTTGACCTTGATAATATGAATGTTAAGTTCTCTTTAGGACTGAAACAGAATTTTCTATAGCATTGCTATACACTTTCGTATTTTTCCAGCAGTGTCTGAAAGTGTAGCCACATGCATGGGGCTGGCTGTTTGGTTGCATCCTAGCTCATTAATAGCTCATCATAGCCCTAGCCAACACCGATGTGGGATTAACAATGGCATCACCCCTATAAACACCAGGCACACTTTCAGGTGTTCCCTAACTGGTATTAAAAAAGACTTGCCTGCCCCAGTGTCTTTCAGACTGCTGCAGGTAAGGCATGAATAAGATATCTGGGACTTCAGAAGTGCCCTAGCTGCCCTGTGAAAGGGCAGCCCTTTCCAATAAGGGAGATGTGCCTAAATTCCATTGATTTGCATAGAACTTCTATCAAGCCACTGAGCTAATGAAGACAATTTAGGGCTCAATTCCTGTTGAAAGTTGGTGGTTGCTTGCATGATTCACAGAATGTTAAATCTAAATGCAAACAAGAATTGAGGCATCCTGGATGGATATAGTAATATAGCAAGACCAAGGTGCATTCAAAATGTGTCAGTCTATCTGCATGGGACAATATGTCAGCAATATGACTAATCACTTGATTTAGGTAGTGAAATATCTGTATGTCAGCCTTTTATGTAATTTTCATGCGTGTGTACGTGTTAGAATGCCTTAGGTGACTTCATTAAAGTGCCTTCTGGATCAATTGAGTGGTCTGTCTCGTTTATCATCTTGCCAGATACTTTTGGAAGCTCCCAGATAAGGCAAAAAGGTGGTGGGCACCTCCAGTTACTAGTTTATGGCATCTGGTTCATAGCAAAATATAGGCTTAGAATGCCTTTTTCTAACCTTGTGGCTGCCAGGATAAATTGTATCTTGGGAGTAATACACTCTTCTCTTCAACCCCAAAAGTTCCTCTCCAAGCTTGCTGTTAAGACCTTGGAGAAATTGTTTTTCTGAGGTCATACTTTGAAGATGGATTTCTGGGTTAGAGAGGAAAAAAATCTGATGCTGTCCAGATTTATCCTACTAGTCCCTCAGCCTCCTTCCCTCCTGCTGTGACGTGCCACAGTTAATCCAAATGGTCCTCCTAGCTTCTGCACTGCATAGGAGACCCCAGTTCAGAGGATTATAAGGCTTCCAATAGGATTGTGCTGTTAAACTACAAGTTTGACTTTCTATAAACTGAGGCTCTGATATTTAGAGATGGCTTGTATTTATGAAAAAATTGCTCATGTAAGAGGCACATACTATTCTGTGTGTTAATCCTACTGAAAAAAGTAAATCTAACTACAAAACCACATAAAACCTTCACTTTTAAAGGTATTTTCAAAAGACTGCTTAGTGCAAAGGTAGGAATTTCTTAAAACCCAATAAACTAGTCATAGGGGACCATTTTCACTTTTTATATGAAAATCAACAAGGCCAGCAGCAGATGGGATGGAATGTGATGGGTGTGCAAAAGTGACCTGTTTTTCTCTAATTTGCAAGATATAACCTTCAGGCCAGACACTTACCTTTGTTGCTCGACAATACCCAGTCCACAGAACAGGTTATGCACAAAACTCTAGAAGCAAACTAAATTTTGCAATATCTAAAGCTCAGTTAACTTTAGTTTTGTGCTTTCAAGACTTCATTCGGCCTGAGCTTTAAAAAAAATCAGGGCCTGGGTCTCTGCCTTTGACTGTAGTAGGCTTTGTTCAGCATAAGTAAAAATGCTGCCCTGAAGTTAACTTGCCTAGCTCACTAGGTGGTGTTTCAACAAGGCCCTGGGAAAGATGGCCAAAGAATGTATACAATGCCATCCGCTGTTTTGAGAGCAGAAGCAGCTAATGAGCTTGTGCCTCGCTATATGCTTACTTAGCTTATGCTGTTGCAGCTTGACTTGCACTAATAGAAAGCCCTAGGTGTTATGGCTTGTCGCTGGCTAGTGAGGATGAGAAACTGCATGGACTGCAGAGTACAATGATGGGAAGGAGCACGTAACATTTGGACTTGCTAACAAGGCAAACAGGTAGTTTCATGCTGCTTAGTGACTGTCCCTGTGTAACTGCCATCCCTTTCCCATGAGTGGTCTATAAAGGCTAGCCATTTTCCTTCACGTGGAGTTCAGACAACAAACATCCTGGAGGAAGTTTTGTTGATTACCCATTCCAGCTGACGAGCCTCTTAGCAGGCTTGCCCACACTGAGCATTCTGAGCCTTTCTTGCTAAACCCTTTGCAAATCTAGCTAGCAATGTGCTTGTTGCAACAATAAAGAACGTTCCTCCTTGTAAGTAAAGCTGGATCTTGCATATTATTTCCTTGGAATCTCAAAGTTCTCCTTTGGCCCACTGCAGGAGGGTAATGAGTGGCAATACATGGACACAACACCTTTATGCATCCAAGTTTCTCACTTCACTTACAAGGGCAAGAAAAATGTATTTTAAGCTGCAGAATTCCAGAAATTCTAAGCAAGCTGAAATCATGCCCACACCCCTCAAAGTCAGTAACAATTACTGGGATGGAGGAACACACATCTTCCCATTCTTCCAACATCAGCCCAAGTCTTCCCAATATATCTTAGTGATTTGAATTTCTTTATTATCAAAATAAATACACTGGTTATTATTCCTACTATGAAGCTGCCAAATTAAATAATCTGACAGAACATCATTCAATTTCAATCTGTTGGATGCCTCACAGTACAAATACTTCACTTCAAGAAATATTTTGCACAGAAGGTAGCAAGAATGTCTCTGTAAGGAGTATCTGAATCAGACTTGGTCCGCGGTATGCGACATAGTCTACGAAATGCAGGAGAACGAAGGAGAAGGTTGAATAGCAGTCCCATGAAGCTTGAGGACATCCAATACAAAGCTACGGACTGCAATAAAAAAGAGAAGAAATATTTTTAATAGTGCAGAGATGCAGCAAAAGTTTTACACTTCCAAGTGAATGTGTTACCATTCTTTGTTAGGAATATCCACAAGTGAAACAGTACATTTTATTAGATTTTAAGCTCTTGATATGGCATAAAAGTGCTCTTACCTCTTTTCAAACATGGATTCATGTGGTCCTTGTCAGATTCATTAACCACTATACCTGGTGCTTACACTTTTTCAAGCACTTAAAAAAAGTCTCCTGGAAGCAATGTTTACACAGCTTCACTTAAGGTTAATGAACTACATCAAACATTACACTAGCAATGCCTAGTCTACTGAAGTTGTATTTATCAACAACCTGCACAATGTCTTGCACAATCAAAATCTAAGTATTGAATTTTACACTTGGGAAAGAACAAGAATAGGTTGCTTACCTGTAATTAGTTGTTTGAGTGGTCATGATGTGCACTCTTACAAATGTGCACAGCAGCATTTGGAGCATTTTAGAGTTAACTAGAGCATTTTGGTAGGAGCCCCACCCTCTTCCTCTGTGCATGGCTCCAGGTGTGGCTTCCACCTGCATCTCAGTTCCACACCTGCCACAGTGGAGAAAATAAATTATGCAGCACTGCGGGGAGGGGGGAGGATGGATTGTGCAAGTGCATAGATGCCCACTCAAAGAACTACAGTTTACAAGAAAGGAACTTGTCCTCCTTTGTGATCTCTGTAACTCACACACAGGTGACAAGTTAAGGACTTTGGCGGAAGATCACACAAGGATCAAGGACAGCTCTGCCAAAGGAAACATGGCTGATTCTGACAACAATAATGCATGCTGAAAGTGGATAGCTGAGCCCATGTGGCTACAGCCCTGAGCAGCATACTGGCATTACACTGATGAATGCAGCTGAAGAAATGACTGGCCTAGCAGAGTGCCCCCTTTTCTTGGAAAGGGGGTGGTAGATGAGCCAGCGAGATAGTTGATGTGACCCATTTGGCCAGTCATTGAAAGGCACTGTGAGGATCTGGGTAGCGTCAGGGCTCCTCCTGCTGGCCAAACACCAGAATAGCAGTCCTGGTTGCAGGGATGGTCCCAAACTCTGCTGCAGCTGCCAGGGCCGTCATGAACACCACCTGGGAACCATGGGGGAAGAATTATTTAAGTAGCTCATCCTCCCAGAAATTGCCTCAGCAATACTGGTCTCCAGTGTGCTGAAACTCTCTGTGGTGGGAGAGCCTGTCTGCTGTTGCTCCTATTCCTGTTCTTGCTCTTGGGCCTTGATCCTGTCCCAAAGGTATCCCTGCCCTTATGCTATCTTCTTGGCTTCTGATATTTGACTTGTTTTGACCATGTTTTGCTATCTGGACTATGCTTTGTTTGCTTTCCTGTTTGCTCCTGGTTTGACCTTGGCTTGCTCTGGATAATGACATGGATTTGACTGGTGACTGGCCTTTTGCCATATAGTTTATTGACTGTATTATCTGGGTCCTAGTGCCTCTGTTTAGCTTCCTGCTGCCCATGTCCCAGACCATACAGGCACGAGTAGGTGACAGGTTTTCCAAAAGGATACTATCCCACAGAGAAAGCCTGATTTATGTTGAGTGAACGGAATCTAGGTTCTAGCTGGGAAGTCAAGAAGGGAAGGAAATGTTTCCAATTGGCTTAGACTATCAGCCAGGTTGTAGGCTGTTCCTGCCATGTGAATGGCAACTAGGGTGAAACTGTGATGTTGTGCACCAATCCCAAAAGTTCAGAGTGAGACTAAGGAACAATAGCAAAGTGGTGTTATCTGATGCAGTTTGAACAGAAAGTCAATGGGAGGTTTGCATGCTTGGAAGGCTTTTGCCATGGCAAAATATTCCACGTGGTGACTCTGGAGCACACGTTCTCTTGTGACCAGTCCTGATTGTGAGGAAACAGCAGTGTGCTCCCCAAACCCAGAATGAAGCATCTATTGCAACTGTACCAGTTCAGAAGTGTGGAATGGCAACCTTCATAGTAGGTGAGGTAAGACATTCACCATTCAAAGGAGTGTCTGACAGCAGATGAGAAATGTAAAGGGAAGATTGTCTCTTTTAGGGTTGAGTGCACCTGGTGCTGACACTTTATTATTTTTGGCACCAGGCCAAAACCTTTTTACTCTCCCATTATTTTAAGATTTATTTTAGTTGGGTTTTTATTATAGATATAATGCTGTGCCTTTGGTTTGACTGTCCTGAGACTTCTATGTATAGGATGAGATACAAAAGTTTTAAACAAATACATAAGTACGTATGTATCAGATGAAGCAAGACTGAGATGGTTTCATGCAAAGACAGACAAATCGAGTAACTACTGTGCTAGAGTCCTAGTCCTAGCAGATACTGGACTGTAATCGCCCTGCACCATGAAGCATAGGAAAGGGACCAGATGGCATTAGCTCAGCTCCAGCAGAGGTAGGTTCAGACTTTGGTATAGTCTGGGAATGCTCTAATAAAAGGGTGAAAGACAAAAGAAAAGTGAGAGTCGTGGAGGCTACAAAGAAGAAAACTGGGTGATAGAAATGTTTCAGTAGTGGAATGACACCAGATCCAACAAGCAAATGACTTTACAGTTTTTTTTTTATGATCAGTGTGGATTAGGATGTGTTATGCTCTCTCTCTCTTGCACACGTGGAGGGAGGGAGGGAGGGAGGAAGAACGCTTTAAAAAATGAAATCAAATAAAGTAGCTTGATACTATGTGAGACTTGCCATTTATCCAAGTACCATCTGCTTTGAGCAGGATGGACTCTCCAAGGTCTCAGGCTGAGGTCTTTACATGCAATCTGATACTTTTACCTGAAGATGCTAGGAACTGAACCTCATCTCATGCATGCAAGGCATGCACCTGACTAGGAAGCTGTGACCCTTCTGCAACAGCAGCTGCACAGGAGCTGCACAGGGTACTTTCAATATACTCGGTGCTGGATAATACTGTCCACCTTAATACTGATTTTATATTGTTTTTGCTGTTTAAACTTTTTAAAATTTTGCTTAAATGCTATGTGGTATCTCATGCTTTGTAATGCTATAAATTGTTCTGATCTATGCAAAGAGATTGGTTATTGGATGGCAGAAATGAAGTTAATAACTGTAGTAATAACATGATAACACCATTGCATAAAAGTGTTTTCAGGGCTCCACACTGGAAAAGTATGGTTCTCAAAATACTCCAAAGCTGGGGAGAAAGGATATTACCCACCACAGTGCTACTGTTATAAATTATTCACTAAAGCTAAATACTTACTGAAGGTACAGTTGCAGCAACTGGGATCATAAATACAGAAGTTCCTCGGAAGAAGTTAGTGGCATACTTCTGAAACTTGGTTGGGCTGGTTTTTCGTAAAGCAAAAATCTGGAAGAACAAATGTCACTTTCAATAACTATTGAACGTGAAGTATCATGATAGCGTTAATGCAGGTTTGAGGCTCAATGTTCAGGTCAATGAAGTAATTATTTGTGCTGCCGCTTGTCCTCATATGCATGTGCACCTGCATATACATGTTCAAGAACATGCATTTAGTATAATTGCACTACAATATGGCAGGGTTCAGAGAACTCAGGAAAGGAAAAGAAATAGACCTGAAATTGGTTTCTCTCTGAAAGGAAATAAACAGCAAAGGAAGAGCCACAGATAACAATATTCAAACACTTTTTGTTACAGAAATGATATGAAATAAAATTTAGAGCAGAAATACTCATATCACACACTCTTAACCAGTTAAGGTTATGGATCAAATTAAGAGACATTTAACAGAATTTGGAGAAATAAAGGGTTTACAAGTAAACCTGGACAAATCAGATGTTATTTAATTGTAAAAAATTGGGAAAGGGTCATATTAAAAGCAAGTGAGAAGTTAAGAGATGTAATATTAGGAGTAAATATAAAAACTGCAATGTTTAAAAGAGAACAATTTTGATAAGTTAAAATATGAAGTGAAAGAGAAGATGAATGAATTTAAAAAGATTGGTTTATCCTGATTTGGTAGAATAGCAGCATTCATAATGAAGATCTTGCCTAAAATTATTATTATTTGCTTATGATGTTACCAATTAGGTTAACAGAGAAAGATTTGAAAGAATGGCAAAACATGATTAATAAATTTTGTAATGGGGATAAAGAAGTAGGACTTAACTTAAAAAGACGGTATATACCCCAGAACACAGGGGGTTTAAGTATTCCCAGTGTGAAATTTTATTATATAGCTAATCAAATGAGGAATATACCAGAATATACATGTGTACTGCAGCCAGATAAGATAATATGGAGTAAATTAGAATATCAAGATGTAGAGGGATCCTAATATCTTTCCCCAACAAAAAAAATAAGACTATTAAAAGATAGGAAACTCTTTTTTTTAAGAATATGGTTAATATGTGGAATACATATAGGGATATATTTATCCCATCAATTATGCCATTATATCCAATTACGGAATCAGAAAGATTCCCAGAAAATCTGAAGAGTAGCTTAAAGGAAATACTGAAGAAGAAACATGTTATTAGGTTGAAAGATTGGATAGAGAAAATGAGTAAAGAAATGATACAAGCAATACTGGGACAGGGTAAATTGGTATAATACGCTCCAATTAGATTACTGGACTAAAAATTGGTTGAAGAAAAATGGTAGTGCTGGGGGACCATGTCTCTACGTCATGGCAGCTATGCCATGGG